AGCGCGCTGTGGGCTTATTAGTTCTGGTCTTGTTACCCTCATTACTGTCATCGCACCTGCTGTCACTGCTTCTCTTCCAATGACCCAAAGCATCCAGAATGCAAAGTTTGTCAATGAATTGGCTCAGAACACCTCGGCTACACTTCACGATCAAGAAGATATAGACAAAAGGCTAGAAACAAAGCTAAATGCTCTGGAAGCTGTAGTGATGGGACTAGGCAATCAATTAGAAAGTGTCAAGATGAGACAGCAGCTGCAATGCCATGCTGCTTTCACATATATTTGTGTGACGTCAGCCCCACTATGACAGTTCTCTATGGGATTGGAGTAAAATCAAGATGCACCTACAGGGAATATGGCATCATATTAATATCAGTATAGACCTCATATGGCTACGCAAACATGTGCAAGCCATTCTGAATAGTCATGATAAAATTATATCTCCAGTGAAACTGGCAAAAGAATTGCTGGATGATTTAAAAGGATTTAATCCATGGAAAATGTTAAAACACACCACCTGGCACCTAATAGGATTCCTTTATGTACCACAAAATGTACCCTGCTTTCTTTTCGTCAGCAGCAAGCTCCTGAGATCTCAAGTGTCCAAGCCACATTTAAAATATAAAGAAGGCGGAGATGTAGAAAGCGCCTGAGAAAAGTCCCTGAGCTGATTGTCATCTGAATCCAGTGGCGCCTGGCAGAGCCATGACCTTGAAACATACCTTGCCAGAGGCAGGTGTGTTGTCAGTCTGACCTTTAGCTCAGGCGCCAGGCACTTGAGTTCCAGCCAGGCACCAGGACAAACACGATTATCCAGACCCATCCAGAAGTGACGATTACAAAGAAGCCACAAGAATGCACATATTTTCTTTTTCTTAAATGTTAGTAAAACTTCCTGGTAACTTACTGTATGAAATAAATACGTTGTATCTGCTCTGGGTCCCTATCTCTCCATCAGAGGGCAGCTGACCCACCCTGTCCCAGCTTTCCCTACTGTCTTTGTGTCTGTCTCTTTCATTTTCTCAATCCCCCGTCACCCCTACTCAGGACTCCCATCTACTCTCTAGCTGTGCTGGTCGCAGAAAAGAGAGAAATATTTATAGACTGGCATCGTGTGCCTGCGGAGCGAAGTGAAGCTTTATTGAGGATGCGTGCAATGCACAAGGTCAAGGTCACCCTCACCCAGGCAGGCGGGGGAGGAAGGCGGGAGTCGGTGGGGGTCTCACAGCTGAGGGTCCCTGACCGGCCGGGGGCGAGGCTGGGGCGAGCTCCGCCTTTGTCTGAGGACCTCCTGTGCCTGTGCTGGGGGGCGGGGGACCTGTTTGGAGATGCTCCAGGCCGCCAACTGCCCTACACGGGCCGCACCTTCATCTCGGCCACCTTGTAGCTGTAATTTTTCCCCTTCCCTGAATTCCAGTTGATGCCGTTTGCATTGCTTGCGTGGGAGCCCCCGATGTAGCGCCCGTTCAGGTGGGACATGTAGCAGCTGTAGTACCACCAGGCGCCCTGGTAAATCTCAGCGCAGTTGGTGGAGGCCCCGTCGTTGTCCTGGTCTTTGGTGGTGAACAGGGAGTTGTTGTGTTGGGTCAGGGAGTCACCTGCCGGGGAGAAATGGGGCCGATTACACTCAGTGCCAGGAGGAGGCGGCACCAGGTCCAGCCGGAGCTGTCCAGCTGCGCGTCATGTGCTGCGAAGTCCGAAGGTGCCATGCACACCAGCTAACGCTCGGTCGGCGGATCCCCAGCCTCGGTATCCCTCCCTCTGCTCTGTGCCGCCAGCGAACGGGCACTGTGCCCCTTGGAGGGGAGGCCACTGCCCGAGACGTCCAGGTCCCTCGGACACACGGGAGGGACGTGCGCCATGAGCGGTGCTCCCCGGGCGTCCTGTCCCCCTGCTCCAATGCGGGCGGTCATGAGGGAGACGCTCAGGTCCTGCACTTTGTAGCCGTGTGTCCCGCCATCGTCATGGGCGCATCCAGGTAGAGGCGGGTTATCCCAACGTGTGGATGGAGGAACGTGGTGAGGCCAAGGCCCCGCCCAGGCCCCAGGGACACAGAGCCAGGACCCTGCCCAGACACTCTCCACTGCCCACCCCCACTGCCCACTCCACCCCTACCCCACTGCCCACCCACTGCCCACAGCCACTGCCCA